ATATACTAATGAAAACGGTCAGAGAGGGGGTAGAAAGTCACTAATTCAAGACAGAGATGGGGGAGAACTGAAGGAGCGATAATATCCTTGAGGAGGCAAGGGCAGTGGGACCTAGGGCACAAGTGGGGGGATTGATTTTGTCTAGGAACATGGATACTTCATCTGTGAAGTGGTTGGAGATTCAGATCTTTTCCTCCTTAAGGCCTGCACACATTATAGTGGCCCTTAGTTATTGAATTACTAGTACAAAATCTGTGATGGAGCATTGCTTCCCTGATGAATTTCCAGGTTGGACAGTAAAAGGAAAACATCCATCAAGAGTTTTGAGGTGTGAAATTCTGAGTTTCAAATCATATATCTTTTTCCTTAGATTGCCTATATTTCATAATTTCTATTCCCAGCACCATTTTTTAAGGCTAAGTGGGACATTTTTAACTCTTATAAAGGGATGACAAAGACAGATGGGGTCTTCTTGTCCATTTTGGTGACATGTTGACCATTAGCTACAGTAATGTCCTTGTAACAAGCAATCTTGACATGTTGCCCATGAAGCCGTGAACATGTGGTCAATACCAGTCAGAAGGTCACTGTGATTATGTTCAAAGTCTGGCTCATCCTGATGTAGTTCCTGTAGTATAGAGGCAGTTTTTGTTCTGGAGTCCTAGAAAATAGACCTACCTTTCCAACTTTCCCATTATTTGTATAGCTAATGCAAAACACTTCCCAGGTAACCATCAGCTTAAGGGGTTTTGGGTCATAGACAATGTCACATAGACCAATATTCCCCCAGGATATTTATGACATTCCTTCTTAGCCTCTCACTGTGGGTGTTTTAGATCTAGGATTAAAGGGTCTCAGCATTCATTCTTTATACTTTGGTGGAGACATAAGAGACTTTATTAACTAGAGAGTGGTAAATCCACCTTTCTGATATTGCCCAGAATACCAAATTCAGTTCAAAGGAGCTGAAAGTTGCTTTTCTCCAGGGCTGTAATTAGGAGCTAATGGAGGCAATATGCACATCTGCAGGTTCACAGACCACTTTTTTTTTAAAGACTTCACATTCTGCCAGAGCTTTAGGAGGCACATTATCTAACTAGAAGACCGGGAGAGACAGAGGCCAGTCAGAGCAATGGAGACCTTATGGCCAGAATGATGGCTCTCTCCTGTATCCTGACTTCCGTCCTTCCTATTTGTCCCAAGGTAGAAGACCGATGGGTGACTAAGTAGATAAACTGGAATAAGATGCTGGTAACTAGACAAGTTGACAAGGCACCTAGTCTCCTTGGAAAAGGCACCTTCAGGGGAAAATCCATGTGGCAACAGATTTTTAATGCTCAGAAGTCAGAAAAGGCTCTGAGACTCTAGCTGGGACATATGCAGATACCTCTGGATGGGCTGTAGGACGGACATCATTAATACAACCCTATAGGAAACTTCTGAGGGATAAGGAAACACCAAGCAAAAGCTCTTGCTCACTGCAAAGTGGCACAAGTCAGGAGAATTGAAGCAACCATAGTTAATTATGTATGCTGAGTGTGCCTCTGAGCATCGCAAGTGAAGGAGACACTGCTGGGGCGGAAAGAGGCCTAAAGGAAATCATTGGCCATTAACAATGGCAGCAAATAATGGTGGCAGATATTATAACCGATCCAAGTTAAATAGCCACACAAAAATATCCACGAGTCATTGTGGCCAATATTTAAGAGGTCATAGGAGAGAATTATAGAGACAGGTGGTAGGAAACCAACCTCTACTGAAGACTATCAGGCATGGCTGATGAATTTTCCTTTAAAACCACAGGGTACCAGACATTACCATGCCATTTAGGGTACCAGCAAAAGAAACTTATGGGCACACTCAAACTGGGTCAGTAGAGGGGAGTTTAAGAAATAAACTTAAGAAATAAAATTTAATAAAGAGCTTAATATCTTCAAAGGTGTGAGTAGAGATTAAGCAGGGGAGAGTAGTTCAGTACCCTGCAGTTATAACTTGGGGTGCCATTCACATTCCTAGACTTGAAGGAGCAAGGAGAGGGTTTTAGCAACAGGTTAGCAGAACGTGAAGAGAGAGAGCTGTGTGGAGGGGCCACCTAACAGCTGCAGTGTTCTTCAGTTAAGGGGTGAAGCCAGCTTGAAGCAAGCCTGCCCGGAGGGAACCAAGAAAAAATTACCCAGATCTCACTCTCCTCCCTCCCACAGACCTTTTCTTACTCGCTCCCCATTGGCCAAACCCAACTGAGAACAAGAGTATTTTGACTGGGTCAGACTTCTGAGAATGAAGGAGAGCAGAGAAAGATAAAGAGTGGATATGGAGGGATATCAGAAGGTATCCAGCAAAATGTCAGTAATTTTGGAGGCTTCAAGGAATGCCAGTGGTCCTTTAAAAAAAAAAAAGAAAGAAAGTAAGAAGAAAAAACTTGGTTAGATAACAAAACAAAACATCATCTATTCACAGAAGATCTACACCACACATTACGGAACTCTATGTCTAAGTCACATTGCCCGGGAAGAGCAATAGTTCGCATGCAGTTAGCATGGCCAGAAAGACCAACTTTGAAACACGAACTTACAATTTTAATGCTCTTTTATCTTTATAAAAGCAAGAACAAAAATAAATAAATAAAAGCAAGAGCAATACATTTCCACTGAAGAGCATTTAGAAACACAGATAAACCAAAAGAGTAATCCCACATTCTAGTGACAATCATTGCTAATATTATGGGGTGTATTTTTTAAGTTTCTTCATTGGACCTTATATATGTATTTGTATATTTTTAAACTTTTTAAATATAATTTTAGAGAAGTTACAAGAACAATACACAAGATTGCCTGCCCTATAGCCCTCACAATGACCACCCAAATGTTAACCTTTGACTATGTTTGCTTTATTCATATTTCATATGTACACAATATAATTAATACACATACATACTTTTTTCCTGAATCATGTCACAGTAGTCAACTTTACAATTGTAACTGAGAAAAAAGTTATGCCAATAACCTCCAAACCATCAACATGCACAAGTGTATTGGAAATGCTCAAATTAAGGATAAGAGAATAAAAATAACAGAAGGAATTTCCATCAGGTCAGAATAGACTTATCTAGCAATTGGACTTTGTCACTCAGACCTCTGTCAATCCTCTGGGGTCTTACTGCAGTCCTGAGTTGGTCCATGAAGGGTCCTGGGGGAGAACTGCTCAGCCATGCTCCTTTTTTGGGGGATGAAGCTCTTTAAACTAGGCTAGGCTGAGGCATATCCCGTGCCCATTAGACAGCTTGGAGAGGAACCTCATAAACTCACCTGTAAGGGCCCACCTGGAGACACTAAGTCAGATCATGGGAAGCCAGGCAAGTGATTATCCATTCCAAAGATACTGTTGCTTGGCACCCCGGGTCATTTAGAGTATAGTGTATCCTTGTGGAGAAGTCCATTCCAGGTGTCCAAGTATAAATTCTTGGTATAGATGATAAAAAAATTAGTCATTCCTGCCAAGATGTAAACAGTCTCCCTCACAGTGGAATCACTAGGGAAAGAAGAAAAATTAAGGCCTTCTGCTACCTGTCAGGTGCTGATTTAAACAGAATAATGTGTTGGGACTGGGTTAAATTTTTCTCTCTGGCATAGCTCATCACCTTGAGAATTGGCATAAAATAGAGCCAGATGCTAAAATGCCTTCCTGGATTGTTTTCCAGTTAGGGGTCTGTTCCCATGAGGTGTACCAGTGAGGACATCAGACTGTCCATGATTCTAAAAGCCAGATGGCAGGAGGCTGAGCAACAGGGTCAGAGCGCTGCAGAACAGCAGTGGGCTGATGTCAGCAGACAGGACAAGAGCATCCAACTCAGGCTTATCAAGGAGTAGCACATGCCCATCTGATCCCAGACTTGGCCCTATTTTAAAAGAGAAATTGCATTGTTTTCCTTTTAAATGGACACTCAGAGGTTTCGATTAATTTAGGAGACTGTCTCTTGACCAAAAAGAGACACAACTGAACATAGTAATTCCTCAGAGTGATTTTCCTGAGGATACCTACCAATGTCCTATAAGGGAAGCAGACCACTGGTACTATAGGTGAATGTTTTCTAAGCCAAAAGACCACCAAGGGACCTTCCCTGTGCTTAGAGATGAGGAGGAAAAAATGGAGGAGAGATGGTGTGGGAGGGCTAACAAGGAAGAGAGGAGGCCACGACTACTCGCTCACCCAAGTTCCCAGTTCCGAGAAGGAACTCCATGCAAATCCTTCAAATGCCTGGGGGCCCAAGAGTTAGAAGGTGAGGTTGGATGAGAGTGGGAGCTACAGTCTTGCTGGGACTGCACAGAACAGCAAAGATGCACACACGTAAGAAGAATGTGATGTGAGGACCCCAGGTGAAAGGTAGCCAGGGGGAGAGCTTAAGAATGAGTCTGCACTTAGCGGAGCCTGTCAAAACTACTACCTTGTCCACACTGAGCCTGTAGACAATAAGCTAGAGAGAGAAATAGACAATCTATTTATGGGCAACCCAAAAGAAGGTTTCTACCTTTGTTCTCCTTCCTTCCTTCTCCATCATCAGAGACGTATGTGCTAGGGACAGGCTGAGAGCCAGACTGCCTCCCTTCACTCTAAGTCACTACACACTGGGGTGAATATACAGACCTTGAAATCACATATAAGATTCAGGTTGTGGAATGAACAGCAGGGAGTCATAAGAACTGAAAATGACTCTTCTAGTAGAGGAATCACTAGGAACTGATAGGAAAAGAAGCTTCAAAAGAGCAAAAAATAGTCGCTAGAGAAAAATTTTCATTTATACCTAATGGTTGAAATCCTTCTCTAAGACAGTTACATTAGACATACAGACATTTGTATACTCCTCAAGACCCCTAGATTCTATCCACACTACTCTTTCCATTTTTGGTCTCTTACTACAGCAGCAACCTTACTAAGAATCAAATGCACACCAACATCATAACCTCCTTTTTAATCTATTTACCCAATGGCACAAGAAGCCCAAAATGGTCATGAGGTAGGTAGCCTCAGCTTCTAATTCAGTAGGTCCCTGGTGGGTCTCTTGGTGGAAGCATTCATTCCTTTGGAAAAGGGAAAAGGAACTTCAGGTATTAGGAGCTTTAAACAAGCCAAACCCCAGGCAGTGGAGAAGGGAAATAAAAACGTTGAAGTGCCCATGCTCTTGGCTAGGAAGAATTAATATTGTCAAAATGGCCATCCTGCCTAAGGCAATCTACAGATTCTTTGCAATCTCTATCAAAATACCAACAGCATTCTTCAACAAACTGGAACAAATAGTTCTAAAATTCATATGGAACCACAGAAGACCCCAGATAGCCAAAGCAATTCTGAGAAGGAAGAATAAAGCAGGGGGCATCTTGCTTCCCAACTTCAAGCTTTACTACAAAGCCATAGTAATCAAGACAATTTGGTACTGGCACAAGAGCAGACCCACAGACCAGTGGAATAGAACAGAGACTCCAGACATTAACCCAAACATATATGGTCAATTAATATATGATAAAGGATCCATGGACATACAATGGGGAAATGACAGTCTCTTCAACAGTTGGTGTTGGCAAAATTGGAGAGCTACATGTAAGAGAATGAAACTGGATCATTGTCTAATCCCATATACAAAAGTAAATTCGAAATGGATCAAAGACCTGAATGTAAGTCATGAAACCATAAAACTCTTAGAAAAAAACATAGGCAAAAATCTCTTAGACATAAACATGAGCAACTTCTTCATGAACATATCTCCCTGGGCAAGGGAAACAAAAGCAAAAATGAACAAGTGGGACTACATCAAGCTGAAAAGCTTCTGTACAGCAAAGGACACCATCAATAGAACAAAAAAGCATCCTACAGTGTGGGAGAATACATTTGTAAATGACATCTGATAAAGGGTTGACATCCAAAATACATAAAGAGCTCACGCATCTCAACAAACAAAAAGCAAATAAGCCAATTAAAAATGGGCATAGGATCTGAACAGACACTTCTCCAAAGAAGAAATTCAGATGGCCAACAGGCACATGAAAAGATGCTCCACTTAGCTAATCATCAGAGAAATGCAAATTAAAACCACAATGAGATATCACCTCACACCAGTAAGGATCGCCACCATCCAAAAGACAAACAACAATGAATGTTGGCAAGGTTGTGGAGAAAGGGAAACCCTCCTGCACTGCTGCTGGGAATGTAAATTAGGTCAACCATTGTGGAAAGCAATATGGAGGTTCCTCAAAAAACTCAAAACAGAAATACCATTTGACCTAGGAATTCCACTCCTAGGAATTTACCCTAAGAATGCAGCAGCCCAGTTTGAAAAAGACAAATGCACCCCTATGTTTATCACAGCACTGTTTACAATAGCCAAGAAATGGAAGCACCTAAGTGTCCATCAGTAGATGAATGAATAAAGAAGATGTGGTACATCCACACAATGGAATATTATTCAGCCATAAGAAGAAAACAAATCCTACCATTTGCAACAACAAGGATGTAGCTAGAGGGTATTATGCTCAGTGAAATAAGCCAGACGGAGAAAGACAAGTATCAAATGATTTCACTCATCTGTGGAGTTTAAGAACAAAGCAAAAACTGAAGGAACAAAACTGCAGCACAATCACAGAACCCAAGAATGGACTAACCGTTACCAAAGGGAAAGGGACTAGGGAGGATGGGTGGGAAGGGAGGGATAAGGAGGAAAAAAAGGGGGGCATTACTATTAGCAGACATAATGTAGTTGGGGAGGCATGGGGAGGGTTGTACAACACAGAGAAGAAAAGTAATGATTCTATAGCATCTTACTACGCTGATGGTCAGTGACTGTAATGGGGTATGTGGGGGGGACTTGGTGATGGGGGGAATCTAGTAAACATAATGCTCCTCATGTAACTGTAGATTAATGATACCAAAAAAAAAATGTTGAAGTGATATGAGAATCCCTCTCCAACATTTACCCTGACCTATTCTGGCTTTGGGAGAAACAGCCACACAGGCGGTCCTGGTTCAGAACACATTCCATCAAGCATCCTGAAATTGTCTCCTAGCTGACATGAAAACAGAATCTTTAAAAGCCTTTCTACCTAGTGATTCTGGATGCTCCAGTGGATCCCACAGGCATAATCAAACTTTTGCTCTACTTCCTTTATGAAAAGTAAGTTTCTTGGCCCAAAACAGTTACATAAAATATTGTATTAGTGAATCAATACTAAGTCCCAAAATGATGTTAATGGGAGAGGAAAGGCAGGCAAGGGAAACAAATTCATATCCAAGATAAGTGACTGTTTCAGTGTGGGGAAAAAGCAGGGGTTCAGTGTAACTCATTCACCACCATTTACCTGACTATGAAGGCTCAGGGATTGTAATGCTCACAGGTTGAAAAGCTGAGAAGGAAAAAAAAAACAACCCATGTTATTGAACCCATGTATAAACTCCAAATCTTCCACTATTTCACTTTGTTCATGAGCCCATGAAAAAACATTGCTGGGAAAGAGACTGTCATCTACAGGACAGGTCATTTTATCTATCCAATACTTCAACCTGTTCTCAGTAGGAGCCTTTTGGTGAGCAGCCACAAGGGACACAGATATTCTACTCGGTGTTCATTCTGAGCAATTCATTCATTCATTCTCCATCACTGCCTAGACCCAAAAGCCAAAGGGAAAAAAGACCTAGGAGGATAAAGCCATGTAAAGGGGGCCACCTAGAGGAAAGCTGTGACATTCATCTGCAATAACCCAACAGGGAGAGGGTCAGGGGAGTATATAATTTGACTTCAGTCTCCTTCTTCCCTCTCACCTCCTGATCCAAATCCAACCACAAGCTGAATGACGGAAGATGCAGACCAAACAGTTCACCCTTCCTGGGCAAAGAGCAGGATATGGCAAAGCGGTGGAAATGAGTAAAGAGTAAATCTAGAGAGGCACACAGGAAATATTCAACACATAATCTTTCAAAAATTATCAAGTTGTACCTACTATGTGCCAAACACTATTCCAGATATTGAGGACAGAGCAGTCTAAAACCAGACAAAGATTTTTCTGGAGCTAAGAGAATAAAGTACATACATAAAATATATAGTACATTAGATATTCACAGCAATAATGAGAAAATAAAGCAGAGAAGGGGCATAGAAAAGACTGGCTGAGAAAGACTGTCGCAATCTTAAACAAGATTATAGAGAGGGGCTCCAGGGAAAACCTACAGGAGGTCAGGAAGTGAGCCTATAGATATCTGGGAAAGGTAAACCACACGGAGGGAATAGCAAGTGGGAAGGCTCTGAGATGTGAGTACACCTGGCATATCTGAGGAACAGAGACATGGCTGGTGAGGTGGGTTGAGCAAGAGGGACAGTATTGAGAGAGAATATCAAAGAGGTGAAGGAGTTGGGGAGGCAGGGTAGGGCCATACCATGTAAGGTTTACCTGACAGAAATTTGGCTTTTATTTTGAAATGGAAAACCTTTGAAGGGTTTTGAACAGAGGAGCCGCGTGATCTGACATGTGTTTATATCATCGCTCTGGCTGGTGTGTTGAGATGGACAGATGTGGAGAGGAGTATCAGGATGGAGAGAAAAGGAGACCAGTTAGGAGGACATTGCAATAATCCAGTCAAGGGACAATAATAGCTTAGACCATGATGGTAGCAGCAATGGAGGGGGCGGGGAAAGGTGACAGGGTTTACTGAAGTATTGGATGTAGATGTGAAAGAAAGGGAGAAGGTTGACTCGAACGTTTTCTGATGCGGTAAAAAAAAAAAAAATTGCTATTTATGAGATAAGATGGATTCCAAGAAGTCTGAATTTAGTGTATATTGTGTTGGGTGCATATTAGGACCTGTTTTTGGACATGTTGTTTAACATCTGGGTGGAGATGTGAAAGTGACAGGTGGGTAAATGAGTCTGGATTTTAGGAAAGAGGGGGAGATTAAAATATGCACTTGACAGTGTGGCCCCCTGGAACCAAAGAGGGGTTATCAACTGTGACAAGGGCTGCTGGTAGTTTTAATAAGATTTGACCAACATTACCATATGAAGAAGCCATGCAGGTGACATTTGTAAGAGCAATTTTACTGAAGTTTTGGGATGTAAGGCAGTTTGAAGTGGGATCAAGAAAAATGGGAGGAGAAATACTAGAGATGGTGTATATAGAAAAACCCTTCAAGGAATTTTGCATTAAAGGGAAGGAGAGGGAAGTGGGGTCAAGATAAGGTATTTAAAAACAGAAGAAATTAAAATTTTTTTTCCAAATCTCATTGTGACCAGTCCTCCAATCTCAATCAGTTAAAATTTATCTCAGAAATTTGAGCTATGAATCTACATAAGAAAATCTCGACAAAATTCATAACTTCAATAGACTAATGGAGAATATGCAGAAAAAATCCTTGCACTACCAGGCAGCAAAAACATTTGATTTTTGATAAGCAACTATCTATGATGGAAAGAAAACGAAAACTAGGAATAGAAGGAAATTCATCCCGATGAAGTTCATATGTCAAAGCCAACAGCAAACATAATTAGTGGGGAAACTTTCAATGAGGAGCAAGATTAGCACACTCTCATCTCTGCTGTTGTTTTTACTCAAGGTCTTAGCCAACTTTATAAGGAACGTAAAAGATGTAAGTGACTGAAAGGATTGGAAGGAAAGAGATAAAACTACCATTATCTGCAGATGATCTGATCATTCATTGGGGGAAAAAACAATAGACTCAGCAAACCATTAGAGTTAATTTCTTCAAACTAATAAGAGCCAACTAGAAAATGCAATTAAAAAAACCACTATTCACAGTAGCAACAAAAACTATGAAGTAACTAGGATTAAATTTAATCCAATATACATAAGACTTCTATGAAGTAAACTTTAAAACTCTAACAAAGGATATAAAAAAAAGTCCATCAACAGAAGACTGAGTAAACAATGGACTACTATTCAGCCATAAAAAAGTATGAACTAGTAATATATACTGTAAACATGAATGATCTTCCAAAACATTATGCTAAGTAAAAGA